ATCCCCTCAAAAGCCATCAGGCACAATGTTCACAGGGGTACACACAGTATGACGTTATCAACTGTTACCTCCATTTTCATGGAAATAGAAAAGATCTAATATTTCACAAAGAAAGCTTAAAACACATTAGCAAATACATCAAGTGTTCTGGTCACCAACTGCAAGCCCACCTAAATTCCATTCAGATTTTTAAATTTCATCTTTAAACAATGCAGCTTCTAGGGACTTACCGCTGTTGTCTGTCTTAATTTTGATCTCACTTGCATATACATCTCCCCATCCCACCAACCTGTACACACAAATACTAATCCACAAGCATAGTGTAGGGCCCAAAACCCAATCCAGATTTGCATGGATGACTACGTACATAAAGGGCAAAAAGGTCCTGGATCGGTCTAGGAAGCTATTTCTTCCCTTCACCTACCTACCAGGCCAGAGGCTTTTCATCAGAATGTTACCAGCAGCGTTTCCTGGTGGTGCTCCAAAAAACCCTGTGCTGGTACTACTGGGTGGCTTTCTGGAAAGATCCAGGAGCTCCCAAAAGGCAAGCCTACTTGCTAGGATAACAGCAGACTTTTGCTAGACAGGTGACTATAGTTATTAACAGGATCCAGACTTTGCATCTCATTCCAAGATATAACTCACTCCTGATTTGCTTGGTACACCTCCTGCATGGTATTGAGAAAGGGGCTGTTTCCCTCAGGATACAGAAGGGTCAGACAAAGGCATAAAGTAAGAAAGGTGACAACCCTCTGCAAAGGGACAGCTTGTTTCTCACTACCACATGTGGTATGAACTTGCTGTATCCTGCATATCTGATGTGGGAGGTAAGGGGGTGAGGTGACCACAAAGTGGGGAGGAAGACGCTTGATGCGCAGAGGGGGAGAAGAGCACCTTCACAAAGGGCACTGCATGGGGGTACTGAAAGATGCCAGCAAGACTGCAAACCTGCTTGTCTCTAGGCTTTGCACAAGCAGGAAATGAGACACACTTTCCCTGCCTCATTTTCTCACAGTGCATTTTCCATCTCCTCTTTACCTCCAGATAGTGAGACAATCCAGTCACTTCTTGCACTGGATCCCCCACCCTGACCATGATGAGCAGACAGCCCTTGTTGGACAATGGCTGCAGCACAGCAGGAGTTGCCAGGAGCACATGATAGCTGCCTGCATCCCTCCATCGGCTTTCCTTCCATTCCTGACAACAGGCCAGCACAGCCACAGGACATATAGAGATCTTGTTCAAAAGCAACAGCCAAATCAGCCTGACTGTTCAACACGATGACATTTCCCTGCCCAGCAGATGACAAGCTGTAGGTTTACAGTCAGTCCCACAAGGACTGCTTGATGTGGATAACCATGCCAAAAGCCAGGGTTTTGCCTTAAACTGCCTTTTTCAACATGTAGTCAGACTGAAGAATTCTGCAGAGAAAATAGGATTTAAGGCAGCGCCTGAGCTGATGACTTTCCAACACCCACAAATATCCTGTTGACACTTCAGGACGCACATTCAATTCAAAGTATCCCTGAAACAACTTTGGCAATTTACCTCATCACATACAAATACTCAGCTGAGAATAGTTATGAAAGCAAGTGAAAATACTCTTTTATTACCTCTCTTAGCATGTGCCACTACACCAAGCACATTACTAAGCTGTCACTACCTAGACAGGGGACAGGCAGGAGGTCTCAAGAGGGTGGCGGAGGAAGCCGTTTGGGCTGGGGCTGCATAGGCAGCAGCCACAAGCTTTACCCAATCCAGCTGTAGGCTGCTGCCAAAGGAACAGTGTCAGCTTCTCGGAACCCTTTCTTAGCACCCTCTCCCTCGGGTCAGCTCAGACACCTATAGACAGGGACGGATCGGAGCAGCTCACCAATCCAGCCCGGGACAACCCTCCCTCTCCCCTTCCCTCCCCTGCAGGCTCCGCATTCTGCAAGATCAGTGCGCCCATGTGGCTGCAACGTGCTGGCAGGAGCACTTGGAAGTGGCAGGGCGCTTCCCTGCAGCTGTGCAACTGGGGTTAGGGCAGATGCAGAGAGCTCCTCTGCGGCGCTGTCATCTCCAGTCACACTAAACCAACTGCGGAAGGGCGTTTTCCTCCTCGATACAGATACGCTGAAGCCAGCCGGAAAAGAGGGGAGGAAGGAGAAGGTGAGGCAGCAAAGCAAAGCACCCGGCACAGCGCTGCTCAGAGCCATTCATACCAGCATGGGCAGACAGCTGTCAGGCCCTTAGACCTGCTGGCTTGCACGCTGCTCGGCTCCCCCAGAGCCTCTTCAATGCTCAGACCCTACACATGCCCTCCATCACCTATTTATTTGCCCCAGACTGCAGGCTCCTACTGAAGCAGAGCAGTGAGATGTGGGAGAGCAGTCAGGGACTGCCAGCATGAGCATGGTTAGGGAACACTCAAACTAACCCACAAACAGAATGAAGACAGGGTAGTGTTCCTCCTCCTGTTAGTCACTTGACCTCAGTTTCAAATACACTGTTCAAATTTTCAATTCATTTTCAATTCCTCACCCTCTTTTGCTTTTGGAGGGAGAGTGGGTATGAGTGGGAGGAGGCAATAGGGGAGAACACCAAAATTACCAGTGTCCTCATATAAGCATTTACTCACTGGACAATTGAGCTCATCTAATTAAGGGGTATTAAACCATCTCCTTATTAAGGAGCATTAAACCATCCCCTCTGTTCCCTCTACCTTGTTAGACTCCAGGCTCAACACTTCTGTTCTCCATGTGCACCACGGAACACTTCACTACTGCCTCCAGGGCATGCCAGACACCAGCACCAAGGGAGTGAACACATAAGCAAAGACCAGCTGCAGTATGTGTGAACTGCTACACCAACCAATGCATTTCTCCTTGCTCCCTTTCATTAGCATTGTGTAAGACCCTCCCAGGTACAGACTTCTCCCTATCCTGTTATCACTTTGTCTTTGACCCATCAGCCTGCAGTTGTTCCTGCCAGCCCTCAATGTGCTTGCTCAGCTGAAGCTCAGCATTCACCCACATGTATGACCTGAACTAAAAAAGCAGGATCAAGCCCACCAGGGTTTATCAAAACCTCAACAACTCACACAAACCAACTTTCTCCTTTAAAGAACCCCAGTTTTCTGGGTTTCAGCTGCTCCCAGAGTATGAGTCACAGCGGCAGTCTTTGTGCTGCTACAACAAATATCCACAGAGCAGCTGGTACATATGTTCCCTAGGCATAAAGGCACAAGCTTACTGCTGATCCTCCACGGGACACATCTGCCAACATTCACGGCACGCTGCAACATGTTACTACAGAATATACCTGCAAATAGTGACACCTGAAACTGGCAAATTCTTACAAATTAGGAAAAACCCACCCGCAACAGATTCCCCAGCGCTGCTCCTGGAGTTGCTGATCACCCATGCAGTTCCCCTGACCACTGAAAACCCTGCTCAGAGCTTCAGGACAAGGTTGTTTCTTACTCTGAATACATCTTATTTCCCAATCTCCAATGCATACCACAGAAACTCTGAAGGCAGCGTTTCCTGCACTCAGTGAGCATGTTAACTGAGCCCTCCCATTCAGCTTCTGCACAGACAGAAGCAAACTCTTACTGTCCTCAGCTGCTGAGAAGCACCATGCCAGATTCCAGACCCTGCAAAAGATGCCGTGGATGACCGTTAGCTTTCTTACCAGTCCCACAAGGGATGGAGGGACACAGAAAGCACTGTGTTCAGCTTCCCTTAGGCAGCTGACAACAGCTTGTAGAAATGATGCCGCTGTAGTTCACAGAAAGATTTTCCCTAGTAGGGGAGAGTACTGCTCTGTTAGCTACCTTCGGTTATCAGCCCAGGTCTGTCTCACTACAAGCCTCTTGCAGATGCTTGCAAGGAGCCCTGCAACTCCACCTTCCCATGCAGAGTGCACCAATACCATGCCAAAAACACTCTGAATCCCCGTGTTTAAACTGGGAACCAAGGCAATCCACGACTCCATCCTCAGCAAGGCTCATATCATATGCCACTAAGAAGCAGCTCTCACACGTGAAGGCAGTGCACAAAAGCAGAGATAAGTGTCCCCTCAAAGGCCACAAGTGGGGGCTGGCTCACCCACAGACCCTCTTCTTCCGAAGCTTCTTTATCCCTCCTCTGCCGGGAGCTCTTGCACCCCTACACGACAGCCCTCACCCCACGACTGAGCTGGGGACAACCTGCTCCCGAGGACTGCCTAGGTCCTGCAGTCACCCAGCTCACCTGCAGCCCACAGCGCAGTATTTGCATGCTCCAGGATCATCTTTCAAAGGCATCTTGGCCTTTTCCACCCAGCACAAAACAAGAAAGACAAGGGAACTTAATCACTAGTGTGACTACAAAATGCATTCACTCATATCAAGAAGTTACTTTTGTTCTATGAAGGAGCAATAACAGTTCAGGAGATGACCAACGGGCTTGGTTAACCTCAGCAGGGACAGAGGGCTCTCCTTGCCCCAGACTCCCATCCTCGGGAAGGTGACGACCCATGACAGCTTTTCAAGCTCTCAAGGGCAGAAACAAAGCCAGGATTCCACTCTTACTAAAACTAACACACGGATTTTACTGAACGGGCCACTAAATGTTACTTCACCAGCCACACTCATGTCTGTAAGAGTTATCGCACAACGGTAACTTCGTTGACATCGTTACAGGACGATGTCAAACGCCACAGCCTCAGGGGTGTAGGTAACCAGTAAGCTCAAGAGCAAGAGAGACAGCTCCTGCAACACCTCAGACAAGCCTCCCATCGGCACGTGGACGGGAAAGCACCACGTCCCGGCATTTTCTGCCTAGTCTGTGAAGACTAGATAGAAAAGATCACCCCCCAGGAACGAGCTATGGTGCAAGTCCTTCCGACACCAGCTGGACAGTTAGAACTGCGGCGATACGGCCTTCCAGCAGGTGCCTGGCCCGGAGCAAGTCCGGGCACCACACGCGGCTCCACACCCTGCGCCCCCCAGCCCCTCACCGCCTTTCCTCACTCACCGAAGTACTCCTTCTTCATGTGAATCTCCAGCTCCTTCTCCAGCTCCAGCGTCAGCGCCTCCAGCCGCCTCTCCGCCTGGCTGGGGCCGCTCTCCCGGCACGGCGTCACCTGGTAGGGGAGCTTGAATTTGGGTGCCGAAACGGAGCCTTTGGTCGGGCTGTAGGGGTAGGGGGGCACGGCCTCGGGGATAGCGGCCGGGTGGTGCTGGTCAAGCCGCGGCGGGGACTGGGCATGGATCTTGCGGTAGACGTCCCCCAGCTCCGGCGCGGCGCCGTCCTCCTGCAGGCCGGGTCCCAGAAGGGAGGAGCGGGGAGAGGGCAGCTGCAGCTCGGAGTAGGCGCTCATGGAGCCGCGGGAGCTCCGCGAGCTCTGGCTGGAGATGCTGGAGCGGGGGCTCACCACGGTGGCTCCCGCCGCGACGCGGCCCTCGGGGCCGCAGAGGCTGGAGCGGGGACTGGCCAAGACGAAGCCAGCGCCGCCCGCAGCCTCCGGCTCGGCGCTGCTGCCCGGCGGGCCGTACCTAGAGTCCGAGTAGCTAGAGCGAGGGCTGGTGGTGCAGGAGTACTGGCTGGCTGTGCTGGAACGGGGGCTGGCGTGGCGCTGGTCGTAGCCCATGCTGATGCCACTGGTGCGGTTGCTGCTGGGCTTGCTGCCGCCAGCGCCGTCGTAACTGGTGAGACTGGCGCGGGGACTGGAGTGCTTGCTGGTGTCGCTGGCCGTGCTGGCGTAGCTGGAGCGGGGGCTGAGGGCGGCCCCGTCGTACTGCACCAGGCTGGCGCGGGGGCTGCCGTACTTCTCTTGGCCGGGTACCACCAGGCTGGACCGCGGGCTGGAGAACTTCTCGTAGGGTAGCGCGGCCGCGCCGCCCAAGCTGGACCGTGGGCTGGAGAACTTGCCGTGCTCGGCGACGGGGCCCGGCGAGGAGGCGGCCAGGCTGGCTGCACCGTACCTGCCGTCCGGCCCGGCGCCGGGCACCCGCCCTCCGCCTTTGGCCACGTAGCCGCCCTCATAGGCACTGCCAGCGGCGTAGCGGTAGCCCTCGGCCGAGTAGCGCTTGCCCTTGTCGGCGAAGCCGCTGTAGCAGGGCAGCGCCACCTCCGAGCGGGTGCACAGCCCCTCCTCGCAGCACAGCGGCCCCGCGCCCGGCGGTGGTTCGGCGGCGCGGCCGTTGGCGGCGCGGAGCGGGACGCCCGGCGCCGCGGGCGGGTAGACTTTGCCGCAGGGGGCGGCGGTGGGGAAGGCTTCGGCGGGCGGCGGCGCGGCGGTGCCGTTCATCTTCCGGCCCCGCTGCTCTGCCGTCATGTGGGCGGCAATGACCCGCTTGGTCTCCTCCAGGTCGGGGTGCAGCACCATGTCCCGGCGGCCACCCCGGCCGTACGGACCCTCCGGGCAGGGTTCGTAGAGGGACAGATCCTCCATGAACTTGGTAGCCTTCAGTGCCATGTCCTCCACGTACTTCTCCATGCTCGGCCGGTGCCCGGCGGCGCGGCGGGGCAGGCACGGCGAACTCTGTGAAAGCACAGCCCGGAGCAGAGAAAGGGGAAAAAAACAAAACAAAACACTCCAGAAAGCACCACAAAACCAAAGAAAAAAAAAACACCCCAAAAGCAAGCCCCTTCCTGCGGTCCTGGCAGGGCAGTGCCGGCGACGCGGCTCCCTGGCCGGGAGGCTGCGAGGCGGCGGCCAGGCGAGGCGACAGTCACCTCAGCGGCATCCCCGGCTCCGTACAGCCGGGCTCCCCGGCAGAGCGCGGCGAGCGAAGATGAGAACCCCTGTGTCACTTTCCAGCCTTAAATAAGTTGCTCGGTCCAGTCAATGGCGCGCTGCGCGGAGGAATTTGCTTTCGGCGGCTCCCTGCCCCCGCCGCCCCCGGCCGGCCGCCTCGCGGAGGGGCCGTGATCCGGTCGGCACCCCCGGGGCGGGGGGCGATAGGTGGCGGCCGGCACGGAGGGGCTTTGCGGCCCGGCGAGCGGAGCGCGGGACGCGGCGAGGCAGGGACTCCTTTGTGTGGGGCAGGAATGCGAGGAAGGAGACTGGGCGCTGCGTCCCGCTGGAATGTAGTTAATGCTGGAGCCAAACAATGATTTTCACCGAGTCAGGCTGGGAGAGGGCGTCTGCGGCGCTGCTCGCGGCTTCCTCTTCGCGCCGCCCGCTCTTCTCCGTGGCCGGCACCGGCCAAGACCCCCTGTCCAGGGCTGGCTGCCTGGCGGTGCCGCCGCGGGCCGGTGGGGCTGTCACCGGGAAGCCGAGGCTCGGCGCAGCGCACCTAGGGCGGCAGCGCACGGACGGGTCTGTCGGGGAGGCGGCCACTGGGGTCCCACTTTCCCGGGGGGGCTCCGCTGCCCTCGCCCCTCCACGGAACTTTCTGGCGGGTCCCTCGGAAAGGGGTACCCCCCTTCTATCCCCCGAGCTCGGGGTCGGGGGCTGCGGTTAGCGCCGTGCTGCCCGTGACTTACACGTGTGCGTAACCGCGGAGCAGGGCCGGTGACCCGCTCAGCACCCACGGTCCGTACCGCAGCTGATCGCCATTAGCAGTTAGGTAGCCTCCTCGTTTTCTTTTATAGGCAGTGCTGAGACATATGATAAACATATTGTGGCCTAAAGCAATCTATGAATTGACACGAGTTTAAGAAAGCAAGCTACTGTGTAACTTTTCAAGAGCTGCATCTGTTGATCTGGTAACAAGACCCAGCGCTGCTTGCCATTTACATCTGTACATACACAAAAAAGGCTGCCAGAAAATAACGCCCCAAAACGGCTACTGAACTGAGAACTCCCCTACTAAACCAGCACCTTACAGTTAATTTTATTGCAACTAAGCTGAAATCCCTGACGATCATTGTGTTAATGGCAGAAATGCTGACAAAGCCCTAACAATGGGTACCTGAACAATGTTCTCACACTGCCAGGTGCTGAGCACCCTGAGAGGGGAGAAATGCGTTGCAGTATTGAGCTATAGCCATTGTGCCATGCCAAGAACATTTTATCCTGTTCCCATACCTAATTAAACATTAAAAGCAATTGTGTACTCAAAAATGTCCCCAGGTGTGGAGGGCAATTGACTGGCAATCTGTTTGTGTGGAGGGGTGGCAGGGGGGTGGAAATCCAACAAATAATATAAATACATAGAGCAAGACATGAAAAGCAAATCTGTTAGACATGGGAGAGGTAGTCACAGTGAATATGATCATCCGTGTGCCAATACAAACGATCTTGGGAGCCAAGTGTTCTTTTCTAATATATGTTCACATCTTTCATTACACTTTCTGCCAATCTCTTAAACAAGATGTTACTTGTGGGACAAGTTACATTTCACCTGTAGTCTGCAGGTGTGTGATGGCTGGGAGAACCTCTTGCAGCTTTGTGTCCTGGTGCATTCCATCCCTGCTCCAGCTAACACTGTGTAGACCCATGGACCAGCAGCAAAAGCTTCCCAGCAAATGTGCACAGCACAGAGCAGGATCAAAGCAGCAGTTCAAGTCTTATTCAAGCCTTGGGCTTTCTGGTAAAGCTGTCAGCAAAGACACAAATTGTGCTGCTAGCCACATGGCATAGACATGCACCCACCAAGATCAAAGAGAGGTTCCTTCCACAGAGCACATGGAAATTGCCATTAACTTGAGCCCTCTATCTACCCCACCTGGGACTCCGCATAGTGTTTGTTTGGGACAGTGGGTGTCTCATGAGCTGCTGCCTTCATGAGTAGGAGCTCCTTCTTCAGACCTTCCTGGGGCCTGTGCTAGGATGCTCTATCGCATTACAGACTTTGAACCTACCTACTGTGATTTTTACAGGGTTGTCTTCCTGAGAAACTAGGGGAGGGTCATGGACAACCTGGGGACTTGGTCCATCAGATCACATATAAGGAAAAATTAATTTAAGTTTTTGTTTTGTTTTAAAAAGCTTTGCAACATTAGATAACTTTATGATTAATCTAGAAGTGGGTAGGGCATATTGGGAGGCCCCTCTGGTATGCTCATGCACGGAAGCATTATGAGTGTCTGTCTTTACTGTAAGAACTGTAGAGCTGGTGCTGCATGAAGTCAGAAGTGTGAGCTGCAGCAGAAGCAACTTGTCCTGTAGCTCTACCCTTCTGAGCCTGAAATCTGGCCCTTTTTCCACCTTTTGAGGCAGCACAGTTCTATATTGCTTCCATTGCAAGCAAGTAGCAAGTTTCTGTGGTAGCAAGTCATTAAAGCATGTTGAGGATGAACTCCTGGGAAAATCAATCAGGAGACCAAGAGAATATGGGGAATATAAGGAAACACTTTTTTAATAAGCAGTGTGAATCAGATGATAAAAATCACTTATTTTTACTGTTGAGAGCTTATGCTCTATAAGAAAATCCTCAAAGCCAGGCCCAGATGAGCCTGGTTTAGCCCTGGGCCAGACTATCCCTGTGTTCCCACCTCAGCCCTGTTCCAGGGGTAATAAGACAGACCCCCTTTTCACCGGTAAATTGTACTTCTATCATACATGTAATGAACATAACATTTATCCACACTATAGCCACAGATGCAGGACACATGGGTGAAATAAATATGCTTGCAGTGGTACATAGCACACTTGAGCACTGCTGCATTTCTCGCAGAGGACCATATGTGCTGGGCTGTGCAAACAAAAAGTGTGGAGTTGAAGCTGCTGTTGCTGTAATAAGTACCCCTATCACTCTCTTATGTACTAGAAAACTCAAAAGTTACAGCTCAGCAATCCTGATGTGGTTTTCTTCTCACTTTATTCTAAATGCATTTGCTGAATTATAACAACCAGCACTAAAATGTATATATTTCAAAAAGACTCACTTCCACAACCAAGAGCACAAGAGCTGTCATAGAGCATTATAAAAGCTGAACCTAATTTCTTAATTTGGGGTGGCAGTCCTTACCCCTGATTTTAAGTTATATCAGTAAATCAGATATTAAGGAAAGCCAGCTGCTTGTGTTAAACTCCTTTGTCTGAGACTTAAGGGAGCAAAAAAGCCAGGTGGAGTTATTGATCTGTGAATACCAGCCAGCTGGGCCTCGCAGGCAGCACACTCCTGTTTCTCCTAATTGCCAGTGCCTTTAAGGAAGGGCTGCCCAAGCCAGTGGGCAGGGGGTCTGGTGGTTTGTTGGGGATTTTGTGTCCCTGAGTTGCAAACAGCTTAATGCCAAGAAAGCAGAGAACATGTCCATGTAAGAGTCCACCAGTGAAACTCTAGCCCTATTGAAGACAATGGCAGAAATCCCACTGGCTTGTACTGTGGTGTATGTTATATCAAATGTGGTTCTACTGACACATTGCAGGAGGGGAATGCTTTGTCTCACTTCATTAATTTAATGATTTGAAGCTACTCTACAGATTTGCTTACTGAACTGGATGCTACCTGAGTTTTTGCAGTTTTCCTCCTTGTCTCCAGCTTTAAAGAAATCAGTGAAATTATACCTTGAAGGCCAGAAGGTAAATAAGGCTTCTTATTACTCAGGGATTTACTGTTCTGGTTTCCAGTTTTAAAGCTGATTGGTTTCTTGGTGAGGAATATAGTGATTGTCCTTTTTCTCTGGCCTTTTTCAAGTTTAATTAAAAAAAAACCCTCAACAAAGCAAACCACCAAAAATCTTATGCATTTCATACAAAAATTATGCTGAGGAATATTTTTGTTTAGGATGGGGGGACTGAAGTTTTAGTTTTATTGGAAGTGATAGTGGTTTTGTATTTTCCAGTGCTTTGTTTTGCACGCTTGGGTCCTGTGTTAATTTGTGTTGTGATAACTTTAAGCAAGCTTTTTGGAATGTAAAGTTTGCATATTAATATGTACTTGGACTTAGGCGATTGGTTTGTAAATCACCTTGTTCTGCCATGTTTTTAAATATACTCATTTACAGTCGATCGTAGCGTTTAAAGCTGAAATTTTTGACTGCGTTTTAGGGCACCATCTCCTGGTAGACAGAGCACATTGTATTTTGAATGACTGCGAGGCACAACTATTTAAAGTATTTTTGACTAACACCACTCTGCAGGCGTACAGGTCATTTCTCATTCTAAATCTGCAATAAAACACTATTTAACATTTTTTACATTCTTCTTATTCATTGCAAGTGCAGCTATTCACTGTGCTGCACAAATTTAACTTCGGACAGGCCTCTGTGAAATTCCAGTCACAACAGGCGCTTTGTGGACCTGCTAGGTTAGACAGACAACATATGTCCAAGCACTTACAACTAATACACCATTTATGTATCGTATTTCTTTTATAGTTTCATCTTCTCTTACATATTTCAGACAATAGCGCTTCTGGCTAAAGCCCTTTATTGGCTCGTACTTGGAGACTGCAGATGGCCTTAGTCATACTTCCTTGCAGTCACAGGACATAATCCCTGTATATTCAAACACAAAGTTAGCTTAACAGCAGCCACTACATTTGCATAAATACATAAGTCAGCTCAATTAGCAGTGTACCTACTTAGTACTTTTAAGGAGGTCATAGGTTAATACAGCTTC